GGTTTAGAAACTCTGGTACAAAAGAACTACAAGAAAGGCAATCCATTGAGGTCAAGAGGTTGATAGCTATTATCGAGGCAAAAGATAAAGAGAATCTACAACTGAAAAAGTCCATCAAAACTAATAAGGAGTTGGCAGAAAAAAGTAGAAGGTCATACGAAGAAATGCGAGAAAATCATCAAGAGCTGAAGAGAAAATGTGGAGAATTGTATGATCAAGCGGAATGCATGAGCAATCCTTATTCTAGAGAATCCAAAGACGCTGTAATAGATAGGTTCAATAGAACTAATGAATTTGAACAAAATCGCTTTCAAAAAATGATATAAATATTCTGAAAATTCGGCAATAAAATGACTTTTCTCTTTGATGCAATATCGTTACTAAAAAACAGGTTTGACGAACAGACCTCACTTCAAAGGGGTTACATCATATTACGCTAACCCTTGGCGTAAAAAGGGCACCCCCATAAGACATGTATCCAAAATTTACTCAAATATCTACTAACTCATGTCTTTTTTTTTCTTTTGAATAAATTACAGCAATTTGATAGAAAACGCACTCCTAAATAAATTTCTTTTTCTCATTCTCAGGTACTTTCAAACATAACTAGCCATAGAAATCCCATCATTACGCGATCCCGCAGCCGAGTCTTGAGAAACCATGAAAACATGAGTTTCCATTCGGAACCATAGGAGAGATTTGCAATAATTTCATCATCAGACGCTATAAATCTGGGGGTCCAATTGAGTAAGAAGCTGAATAGATTCAATGAGTTTAGTGCAGAAATGGTGGCACAAAGGCGCATGATCAACCAATTGGTCTCAAACAATACCGGCGGTATCCAAAACGACCAAGTACCTATTGACGATAACCAATATGAGTTAGAAAACCCGCCACCTTGTATGTCACATAATTAAATCGCTTTTATCCCGTCTTTTACAAGTCTACCCAGAGGCGCTTTTACTTATTCCATCCATAGTTTACCACATATATATCCTAACAATATTTTTGTCAATCCAACTAGCAATCAAATTCTCCAAAATTACCCACAAATCAACTTAAACATTCCATCTAACCCCCAAGTACCCCATCACCCCACCACAGAATCATTCATGTTAGACACTGTCTTTCAAGTAAAGGGAGAAATAGACTAGCCCTCTTCTCCAATTGACAAGAACCTGCTAAAGAGGTTAGACCAATTTGATGAGTTCATGAAGAAAAGTCAGAGATTAAACAAGTAGGGAGGATTAGATTATGATGAGTTGTGTCTTTTTTTGAATATGCAGTTGCCTTTGAGTTTCAAAACTCCTAAATTAAGCAAGTATGATAAAATCGAAAATCCCAAAACACATCTCTGAATGTTCTCAAACAAGTTAGGGAAGCCAGTGGATGACGAGAATCTACCAGTGCGATTATTCTCTGAAAGTTTGGAGGATGACACTCTTGACTGATATTCTAATCTGAAACTGAAAGAGGTGATAATTTGGTTGGATCTATCTTCGACTTTTGTAAGGCAATATGAATACAACTGCGAGTTTGCACGAACATGAACTACACTTGAAAGGACTAAGAGGAAACTATCAGAAGATCATAAGACATATGCCAAACGTTGGAAGAATTTGGCCATTAAGGTGGAATCCCCTATGACCGAGGAAGAAATTATCCGCACGTTCATCAAAACTCATAACCCACCATACTTTGAGAAGATTTTTCGTATGATTGGGTGTTCATTCACGGCTATTGTTAATAAGTTAAAAGAATTTGATGAGTTTGTAAAGGCAGGAAAAATAGTTAATGTATCAATGTTGAAAATGCAATTAAAAACCCTGCAAAGTCAAAATAATAGTGGAAAGAAACTCCAATTCAAAAAGAAGGAAGGAGAAGCTGCCTTTGTAAGGGATCAAGACCCCTCAACTAGATCCAAATTTCAAAACCGCCCTACCTACTCATCTCCCTACCTATACTATCTAAACTCTCGGCCTATTTATCACACTACTGTCAACCATTCTCGCCCCATATCCAACTATACAAGTATACCCACACCACCTTTTCAGATTTTTCAACCAAACTTACGAACTCAACCCCAAACCCCTTATAACACATGACCTGTTTCACCAAGTAACCAAACTTACAACCATACTCAAACCAATGAAATCCAAAATCAAAACCAATATCGAACTTTCACCAATTTGTGTCGACCTCTCAACTAATTATATAAGCAACTTAAGACTGCTAGTAAGATTGGCGTTGTGCCTCCCAAGACCTCCCTAGGAGTGTTCCTACTTGTTATGATCCCCAAACCACTTGCGTCTAACATTCTAGGAGCCCTGATCACTCTACTGTCAATTGTTGGGTATTAAAACATAATATTCAAAATATGATTGACACCGAAGATATAGTTTTAAGAAAAAAAGGTGAGCTAGGATCAAATATCAGCAAGAACCCTTTTTCCGAGTACAAGAACACTGTAGGGATTATTACTACTGATGAGGAGTTTGAAGAGCCTGCCCAATACATTGTGGATGAGAATGAAGTGATTGGAATAGTCGAGAAATCATTTATACTGGAAGAAGAACTCTTGAAAACTAATGAAAATCCTTTCGTCTTGGATTTACTTGAACCCGTGGTGCTCGAATTTCCTAATCAATAACCTATGCACAACTTGTAAGAAGTACCATGAAATTATGGTGAAATCGCCCTACTGATTGGGGATGTGGAGATGCTGAAGAAGGAGATGGCTGCTATTACCAGATTTGGAAAGGTTGTGGGTGAGTATGAAGTTTTTGCCCGACTAAAGGCAAAGGAGAATACTCTGCCATTTAAACCATCGGTAACTGAAAAGGAGGCGCTAAATTTTCTCAAATTGCTGAAAAGGAGCGAGTTCAAGGTCATGAAATAGTTGGACAAAATGCCTGCCCAAATCTCTATTCTATACTTACTTTTAACCTCCGAATTTCATAGAGAGGCACTGTTCAGGGTTTTAAACGAGACTCGAATACCAAGGAATATTCTAATTGAAAAATTCACTCATGTTGTGGAAAATGTTCTGGCTTCCAATCACATAACCTTTTCTGACGAGAATTTGATTTCTGAAAGAATCGAACATAATAAGGTATTGTACATCTCAGTAAGGTATAACGAAAAGTTGCTGCCAAGAGTTTTGATAGATAATGAATCTGATCTAAACATCTGTCCATGAAATACTTCTACGAAATTTGGACTTCCTGATGCCAAACTGCGACTATCTGCAACGATAATAAGAGAATTTTGACAGTGCAAGATGAAAATCAATAGGTGAAGTTGATTTGGTACTGGAAATAGAACCCGCCCAATTTCAAGTGGTTTGCCAAGTTATGAATTTTTCAAGTGTTTACAACATTCTACTTGGATAACCTTGGATCCATACTTCTAATGCCGTTCCATCGTCTCTCCATCAAAAGGTGAAATTCATTGTGAATAACCAACTTATCACTACGTTCATCGAGATTGACTGTACCATGATTGTCTGGAGAAAGTAGTAGAAAATGTTTCAATTCTCCTCACTGTGTGGCCGATATCGTGTCAATTGGATGAATTTCCAAAGAAATAATAGATGCACCTAAATCCAGTGTCATGATAGTCAAGAAATTGATTCGAGGAGGGTATGAAATAGACAAGAATTTGGGATGAAATCTGCAAGGCATTTTGGAGCCTATAGAGCTTTTGAGGAAGAAAGAAACATTTGGATTGGGATTTCAATCGACCGCTAAGGACAAAAAGGATATGCAAGCACATAAGAAAGTGAAAAAGAAAGGAAAGTAAATTGTCATGAGTATTCCACCATTGCGCTACACCTTTCTCCATCCATCTAAGATAATCTTGTCTGAATTAGATGAGGAGAACACTGATGTGATTCCACGATCTAGACAACCGATTCACCAATGGTTTAGGCAGCGGAAAACTTGACCCTAATTAACCCTAGAAGTTACAAACAATATTGATACTATCTCAACCCATAACCATTCGAATTAATGAACCAAATTGTAAGGTAGAAGAACGCCACAATCAAGGTGGGCACTTGATTGATAAGTTCAATTGAATGACTTAAGAAAACTCTCAAGTATTCAAGGAGGACTCTCTTGGAGAGAGGAAGTGAATAAACTCTCAAGTTTATGAATGTAAAAATCTCCCCTCAAACGTATAAGGCATAGGCTTATTTATAGCCTTACAATGACTCCAAAACCTAATCTAACTTGGACTAAACTAACTTCCCTAATTAATTAGTAATAATTCGGCCATTACAAGACAACTCTCGGCCGACCTTTGGACTGAAATAAATGACTTAAACCACTAATCAACTATACTTTCGGTCCAATTAGAAAGTAAGCTGACCAAAATAAGGACACTAACAAACGACCAACAAACAGCAAGGAACTTTCTAATTTATAGCCTAGCCATCAATACTAATTAAACGACAAAACTTGGGACTTGAATCTTGTATATTGGCATGCCTTGATTCACATCATTCCCCTCCTCTTGGAAGCGATTTGTCCCCAAATCAATGGCTTGCTTGGACAGCATCAACATTGGACGCCGCTTTATGATGACTAGCCGTTCTACATGTCATTTATGCAACTGTAAGATGCATGTGAACTTGACACACAATGCGGTATGATTCAGCATGTGAGGAACATCTCTTGGATTATGCGTGACACAGGCGTTGATGTCGCTCAACTTATAAGAATGTAAATGCTTGAAATCCACTTCATTTGATGCAATACGAACTAGGAAGATATGAAGTAGACAAAAGGAACAATGTGGAACCAGATTCCAGAGGCTGAAACAAGCATGAAAATTCGTGGTCAACTGCTGGTAAATAGCCTTCAAAATCGGCAGCAACTAGCACTACAAAGTGCACGAAATCTGATTGGATCTTGCTAGGCAATTCTGGAAAATTCGGGACAGCTTCATTACCTGCATGCAAAGGATAAAATTCAGTTCTTAAAAGACTAGAGTTTTGCTCAAGGATGAAGGATTTCATGTAGGAGTGGATAGGGAAATGTAGAGGAAGATTCAAGTGGAACCACTCCCTTTGAGTCGTGAGTAAGCTTTGTGGCAAGCAAGATAGATCTAGGAGAATAAGGGGGTATAGTGTATTGAAGAGCAGATTTGATGAGCGAACTACGAATTCCGTAGAAGCACATGAGCTCTCCAAAGGATTTAGGAACTGAACAAAGTAAGGTAAGTGTAATTGCACCATGCTCCAGCTGCACCAAAGATACGGTGTTAAACAAAATAAAGGTTAGTGTGCTAGGAAGGGAACAATCTCCCTCACAAATGGCTCGGGCAATCATGCTTAATTTCCCCCCATTGCGACCTACTATGGCCAACTGATTTTTGCCCCTTTCCTTTATATCTTGCTCGACACTTTGTTCACTTCGTATGCTCCTTTGTTTGCTTTCATCTTTATCCAACTCCCACTCTCTTTGAAGCATTGCTTGATCTTCTTGCACTTGCTTAGGGGGAAGCGGAGCAAGAGTAACCTTCCTATCCCTGTGAAGAAAGGAATATTTGTTAGTACGACCGTCATAAGTAACCTTCTTATCGTATTGCCATGGCCGTCCCAAGATGATGTGAGTGGCTTGCATCGGCACTACGTCACACAATAGCTCATCTTCATATCTACCAATGCTAAATTTCACAGGTGCTTGTTTGGAGACACGTACTTCACCACAATCACTAAACCATTGCAATTTGTAAGGTCTAGGGTGATCTCGTGTAGGTAGTTGTAGCTTCTTCACCATTAGAGAACTTACTACATTAGTACAACTCTCACCATCGACAATCAAACTACACACTTTGCCATTAACAAGACAACGTGTATAGAAGATGTTCTCTCGTTGCACTTCCTCCTCAATGCGCTGTGCATTCAACGCCATCCTTGTAACCAATCCTAACCCAATAGGTTGATCGATAGGAACCTCCTCACTTGATTCGTCACCATTATCCTCCTGTAATGGTGGCATCCCTTCATACTCCCTTTCATCATCGGTGGTGACATCTCCATTAGGAAGCATGATCATTATTCGCTGATTTGGGCATTGGTTCGCAATGTGACCAAAGCCTTGACATTTCCAGCACTTAATTTCTCAGTTTCTAGGCCTTGAGGTCTTATTTACTAGTTTGGAAGCTCCTCTAGAATCAAATTTAGAAACATTTGGTCGAGGGTTGCTGGATACCTCTTGCTTTGGCCATGCCAGCGGCTGTATCATCTCCCCTAGGCTGGAAATTTCGCTGATTTGAAGTGTAAATAGAGGCATAATTTCTGGTTGTACCCCTCCTCTTGAGCCGTCGCTCAATGTTGATTGCCTTCTCCACCATGTCCTCTAGTTCAATATAGTATTGTAGCTCGAGTTGGTCAGCAATTTCTGGTCTCAAACCACTAAGAAAACGCGCCATTGTCGCTTCCCTATCCTCATGAATGTCGGCTCTGAGCATGGAAATTTCCATGTCCTTGTAGTAGTCCTCAACCGAACGATTTCCTTGGGACAAGGTTTGAAGCTTTTGGTACAAGTCTCTATGGTAGTGACTTGGTACAAATCGCTTCTTCATGAGGCGTTTAACCTTAGTCCAAGTGGTTACAGATGGGTCACCACACCTTCTTCGGCTTGTAACCACTTGATCCCACCACACTATAGCATAGTCGGTGAATTCTACCACGGCCAATCTCAACTTTTGCTCATCCGTGTAATTGTTGCAATCAAAGACTAACTCCACTCGCCTCTCCCATTCAAGGTATGTATCTGGATCTGATTTACCTTGGATTGGTGGAATTCTCATTTTAATTCCCTTGATTACATCACCAACTTGTTTGGTGTTCCTCCTCAGTCGCCTTTGCCCACGGTCAAAGTCGTCATCTGGGTTAGAGTTACTAAACTCGGGCATAGGCCTTTCGCGACTTCTCCCACTGTGTTGACACCCTTTTGAGCCGTTTTGGGACTCTTCCAACCTGTCAAGGCGTATATTCATGGGTTCAAGCTTTTGATCCAAAAGGCGTCCCATCTCCTCCTTCAAACTTTTTGTCAAACGGGAAAAATCGAAAGCTGGTGTGCTTTCTCCTTCGTTAGGCATGGCCTTTGATTTTAAACTTGCAAGAAAGGGTTAGTATAAAATATAAAATTTTATCTCACGACTTCCTCACGTGTATCACTCACTCTCGTGTATCCTCAAGTGTTTAGAACACTCTAATGATCTCACCATTCACTTCCAAAACCCTTGATTGCCCCCTTTGAAGAAATCAGAAATTTTCTCAAAGTGGTTCAATCAACTTTAATCAAGTTTTTCCCCAAAAGTGGAGTTTGAGTAGCTGGAACTTAAGACTGAATGAAGTCTCTAAAGGCAGCAATTACACAGGCAAGAATACGCTGGAAGTTTAGTGACGTAGTCCGCAAAAGAATGATTCAAGGGTGTAAGAGTTTAATTTGGACAAGGACTCAATGGAACCTAACGGCTAAGCAACCTCTAATCTGTTTAGAATTCTGATTGTGTGTATCTAGCCACGAAGTAATCTAAAAGGACTCCAAAAACACCATTGCACCGGTTGGACAGAATGCTAATTCAGAGAGCAAGATGGCAGAACTTGTTTGGATCTTAGAATGATTTTACCCGACTTTGCACGCGGCTGATTTCCTTCGGAAGCTATAGACAATGTTTCTCGGGTAATTTTGGATTATGTGGAGGATTGTTTTGGCGGCTGGCTTCCCAAGTCAAGCAACAAGTCTGAAGTGGACAGATTGGTGGGGCTAGGGGTTGTCCTAGCAAGCCAAGTCGGTTGGGGTTTCCCTCGTCAAGGAGGTTTCTTATTTCAAGAGGGTTTCTTATTTCTTGTGATCCGATTCTGGTTTCCTCTTTCTTTTCTTTCTTTCTTTGCCTTTTTTTTTTGTTCAACCAGAATTCTTTTCTTTCTCTTGAATTTCGGATCAAGGTTTCAAGAATAAGAATGATTGGGCAGCCTTGTGATCAGCGGTGGTCAGCCTTGTCAATTCGGATCAAGGTTTCAAGCGGTGGTCAGCCTTGGTTTCAAGATTCCAAGAGCAAGAGCCGATTGGTACTTGTGCCAATCAAGACCTCCACTAAGTGTACCAAGATTCCGTGACACAATCCAACAATTTGTATGAAGACTTCCGAGATTCACCAAGAGAATAGATCAAGAAATCAAGATTTTCAAGAAATAAAGGTAAGCCTTTCAAGGTTTCCAAGGAAGATAATTGCAAAACAGTTTCAGCCTTTTTGTGTAGAATAACAATTTTCCCAGCCCTCTTGTTCAAAGAAAACACTTCGGTTTCGAGAATTAACCAACGACCAGAATTTTGGTTGCCTCTTGCATGTGTTTTCCTCTTTTTCTCTTTTTTTTCCTTTTTTTTTTGGTGGTTGCTTTGCACGACCAGAACGACTCAACAACATAATGAAAGGACTATGATCTGATCTAAACAGTAGCAAGAGACGGCAAACAGATTGCTTGCGAGAAACAAGACACAAGAACACAACGACGGCACAAAATCTTAGCGCCTGTTTCGTTTCGCTTTTTTTTTTTGACTCGATGACTTCAAGACTCAAACACACAACACTGAGATGCAATTAAGGACAAGAAAACACAGCAGCAATAGACGACACAAAGTGGACAGCAAAGGGATAATTTGCGGACAGTCAGGACAAACGGAAAAAAAAAACAAGGAAACTAGCGACTGATGATTTTTTTTTTGACACACGAAATCAGATTTGATAACAAACGAATATGACTCGAAACAAAGCAAAAAGGAAGGATATAACCTGGTGGTTGTCGACTAGCTCTGATTACCAACTGATGTGATTCCACGATCTAGACAACCGATTCACCAATGGTTTAGGCAGCGGAAAACTTGACCCTAATTAACCCTAGAAGTTACGAACAATATTGATACTATCTCAACCCGTAACCAATCAAATTAATGAACCAAATTGTAAGGTAGAGGAACGCCACAATCAAGGTGGGCACTTGATTGATAAGTTCAATTGAATGACTTAAGAAAACTCTCAAGTATTCAAGGAGGACTCTCTTGGAGAGAGGAAGTGAATAAACTCTCAAGTTTACGAATGTAAAAATCTCCCCTCAAACGTATAAGGCATAGGCTTATTTATAGCCTTACAATGACTCCAAAACCTAATCTAACTTGGACTAAACTAACTTCCCTAATTAATTAGTAATAATTCAGCCATTACAAGACAACTCTCGGCCGACCTTTGGACTGAAATAAATGACTTAAACCACTAATCAACTATACTTTCGGTCCAATTAGAAAGTAAGCTGACCAAAATAAGGACACTAACAAACGACCAACAAACAGCAAGGAACTTTCTAATTTATAGCCTAGCCATCAATACTAATTAAACGACAAAACTTGGGACTTGAATCTTGTATATTGGCATGCCTTGATTCACATCAAACACGATTGAGGAGATTAAGGTGGGACTGTCTCAATTGTTTGTTGGAGACACTTGCGAGGAAAAGCCACTAGAAGATGTGGAGTTCTCAACAATCCCTGAAGGAGCCATGCAGAATTAGACCATTGACTATGTTCCCTCTCAAAGGAAATTTCGGTAAATTTAGGGGATTGTTCTTGGTCAAAATCCATGACAAAGGCTACTTTGTTTCTAGTTATTTGTTTCTTTTTAGTATTATGTTAATATGCGTTTTGTTTAAAAGACGTCCCGTTCCCACTACACAGTTTTGGTAGGGTTGCATTTTTTTTAAACTAACGTTGTTTTGTTAAGTACCTGTCCTTGTTTCAATATTTATCTGCTCTCTTAAATTCAATGAAATTGAAAATCATTGTTCATCTTTTATTATTTTCTACTTATTTTTTGTGCACATTTACTTTATTTTCAGATGACAAAAAAATCATTTGACCTTTTGGAATTCAATTAGTACAAAGTCGATATCTCTTACGAATTTGAAATTATGGAATTCGAAATTTAAATTGAGAGCAATAACGAAGAGGAACTTGAGTCTATTTCAAAGATTTTTGAACAATATGAAGAGAAATCTAAATCGAACTTAGAAAAAAAAAGAAATCATTAACATTGACATTAATACGGAGGTTAAAAAAAGTAAAATCAATGTACACTTGAATAAGGAGTAGAAAAAAGAGATAATTGAATTCTTAATCATATTCCAAGATGTATTTGCATGGTCATATGATGATATGCCTAAAATTTTAACAGATATAGTGGTTTACAGACTGCCAACTGATCTAAATTTTCTACCAGTAAAGCAAAAATCACGTAAATTTAAGTCAGATACAAGTCTCAAAATCAAGGAGCAAATCGAGAAGCAGCTCAATGCCAGAATTATCATGGCGTCTCATTAGCCTATTTGGTTTTCAAATCCTATACCTGTTCCAAAAAAGAGTGGGAAAGTACGAGTCTGTGTTGACTATAGGGATTTCAATAAAGTCAGTCTAAAGGACGATTTTCCTCTGCCAAATATTTACATTCTTCTGGACAACACGGCTGGACATGAAATCGAATCTTTTGGTGATTATTTCGCTGGGAATTATCAGATTCTGATACGGAAGAAGACAGGGAAAAAATCGCTTTCATCACTCCGTGGGAAATATTCTACTACCAGGTAATGTCTTTTGGATTGAAAAATGCCAAAATTATCTATCAACAGACTATGACCACCCTATTCCACGACATGATTTACAAGGAAATGGAGGTTTCTGTGGACAACAATATCATTAAATCCAAAAAAGTTGAAAACTATCTATTTGACTTAAACAAATTGTTTGAAAGGTTGAGAAGGTATAATTTAAAGTTAATAAAGTTAAACGCTGCAAAATATGCTTTTGGGGTTCCCGTTGATAAATTGTTGGGATTTATCATCAGTAAAAAGAAAATAGAGATTGATCCAACAAAAATCAAAACGATTTGAGAAATGCCCGTACGGAAGATTCAGAAGGACGTGAAAAGTTTTTTGAAAAAAATTAATTTTATCAGCAAATTTATTGCTCAGTTGACGTCTACATGTGAACCTTTATTCAAATTGCTAAAGAAGAATGCATCGATGCACTAAAATGAAGAATGTCAGTAGGCCTTCGATAAGATTAAGAAATATGTGACAGCCTCACCTCACCCTAAGGCGAACCAAATGGTTCGGCGGACCACCTGCCCAACTTTCACCAGGACTACGGAGTTGAATCACACAAACCCGATATCGCACACAACGAATCCCCAAGAGAACAATCAATCGAAGACTACTAAGTTGAGAAACAGGAGTTCTACACTGTAAGGTACCATGGTACTTCGATAAAACACCCCAACGGAAAAGAAAATGAAGACGAAAGTGCAAATGAAAATCAGACACATCACAATCCGGCCAAGGAATGGCCGGATTTCTGGCCGGATCGCTGGCCGGATATGAGGCAGTGAGTAACCTAAAAAATTTTTCAAAAACCCCTGCTAATCCAGCCAGATATCCAGCCAAGAACTGGCCGGATACACGGCCGAATTTGGTAAATGGTTCCCGCCCGAATGTCTTTCCTTACTCAAATGCCGCGCTCATTAAATTGTCCAATAGTTACAAGTAGCATCTCAACAAATGCAAAGGTACTATCGCAAATGAATACACTTACTGTACGTGATAAAACACTTACATAGATACATTGAAAACTTTACAATTAAAAGCGTGATACTTAATTAAAAGCCAATTAGGGTTTTGATTACACAAGAGCCAACAAAAAAAACATTTACACTAGCTCAACCCTTTTCTCAAAATCACGTTTCAAAGTGTGGTTCCCTGTAAGGAAAATAAAGATAACGGAAACGGGGTAAGCTTACGCTCAATGAGGTACCAAAATAATAGCAAGTAAGAATCATGGAACTTCATATTCAATTAGTCACATATGCCAATCAAATAAAGAAATGAACGAACACCATAGATAAAAAGGATACGGGTGGCTCTCAAGAGCCAAATTCCCATTTGCTTCACCGAAACTTGATCAAATAATAGTTGGCACTCCGTCAACTTTTCAAATAAAGTAACCAATCCAGTCCAGTAGAGCACCACTTTACACCAAATCCCGTTCACCAAA